CCCACGAAACTACCAAAAACCTTAACCGGTCCCGGTTTTCGGTCCCATAACCGGTCCTTACCGGTCCCGGTCCCGGGCCGGTCCTTTGTCGGTCCCGGTCCCGGTCCCGGTCCTCCGGCGGTCCCGGGCCGGGCCGGGCCCATTTGGCCATCTCTAATTGTAATCCATCTTTAATCTTAAAGGGTTGTTTGTTTATCTTTTAATAGTTTTATTAAAAGGCAACATTTGAATCGTTAAGAGGTGAATCTTGTTTGGCAAAAAAAAAGTCTGCCTCTTAATGGTTCTAAAATCTTCTTCCTTAACTATTAAGAGCCCTGATTTCATTGTACACAATTACCAAACAATTATATTTTATTTTGCACTATAGCATTATAGTCTCTTAATCGTTCTGTACCAAACCATTCAACAATTGCCAAACTGCCCCTTAGTTGTCGTTTTTAACAAATCTTTGTTACAAAAATCCTTAATCAGTTCGAATTCGAGTAATTGGATAGGACCCAAAGTACTATATCAGCTACATGATGATCTTAATGTAACCGGTGATTGGGTTGGACGTGCATCCTTAATTTAACGTCATGTTTGACTTCTTATTCAAATATGAATGAATTTCTTATTGGTAAATAAATATCGCTATTTTTTTCGCACTTACACACATATCAATACAAAAATTAACCATGATTTGATTCGAAAAGGGAATTCATTTGACAACACCAATTGAAATTTAAGGTATTCAACTTTGTAGGCATTTTCGTGCAAACCCATTTGCTATTGCTAACGTGAAATAATAAGAAGGATTAATAAGATGTATTTGGTTCCACCATTATGAAATCACTGATAAACATAGATAAAATAAAATATTAAGATCATATATTTTTTTTATTACAGCAAACCGAAACATAACATAGATAAACTTCTCCTTACTTTAATAACTTATTGGATGCTTCATTATTTTGTTGTTCGATATAGTTGTTGACTTCTAGTTGATTTTGAGTGATTCGATGAAGCTCTTTCCTTCTGTAATGTCATTGTTACTGAGAAAATCGAGGAAATCACTGAAACTACTTTCCTTGTACTTTTTTGGATGTTCATCGTCCGTAAGCTCTTTAGCAGTTGCCATCTTCTCATCCATTTCCAAGCTATGGAGGCTTGCAATAGAAACCCGTGTTTTCTTGTTGTTGAGGGTGACCCTATGCACCATGCTTTTGTAAAGCCCGTTGCTCAGTACCTCCACGTGGTCGCCTATATGGACTTGGAGAGCCCCGTGCAATTCAGGTACCAATCGCCAAGTGGCATCCGAGGTATCCATGATCTCAAGCCCACACGAGCTATGAAGAACTATGGTTATGCAACTATAGTCCGAGTGAGGTGGTAACCCTAGAGCCATATGTGGTTCAGGACACTCTGGATAGCAATTGACAGCAAGCACTTGCAAACCATCTTCCATTTTGGTTCCAAGATATTTTGGGCCGATTCCAAGGCTTTCAGTTATGACACCCATCAGTTCAATGGCTAAATGTCTTGCTTTCATAGCATACTCCCCCATTTTTTCTCTGCATCACAAGTTACCAAATACATCAGATGTAAATTTATGAAAAAAGAATGGTAAAATGACAGGAAAACCAGCAAGCTATTGTGTTTTAAATTATATCTTAAATTTATTCTCACGTATAAAATACAAAATACAATCTTTTCAAATAAAGCACAAATACCACTTAGAATAAAAGTACTGCTAAATTTGTCAAACGTATACCTTTACGTATAATCAACTATAAACACTCGTCACATGTGCTACAAGTTTCAGTATTTGAATATGCATATTTTCCTAAACTCCAGAACAATAGAAAATACTGCTAAGAATGATAAGACAGTGTGATTCACGTGACAAACAACTAAACATAGGCAATAAACACAATTTATCACGAGCACTTTTTGCATACGTATACCTTAAAGGCATCGACAAGGTTGTCGTCACCCAGCTTTAGGAGTTTTAGGCATACACGTATGCATTCGTATACGTTAAAGGCATCAACAAGGTTGTCGTCACCTAGCTTCAGGAGTTTTAGGCATACACGTATGCATACGTATACCCTGTATATCTCATGTTACGTTACAACTTGCACTTCAATTACTTTTAAGATTTGAACGGATGGTCTCACCAACTAAAACCAGAACTAAAATACAAAAATGGCCAAAAGTTATAACCTCATAAAATACATCATATCTCATTTATATAATCTTTTTAATTTGGGAAAAAATCACCTAGAAATGGAAACCAAAGATGATGGGTACAAAATGAACATATTCATAAATGCAAGGGTGTAACTGAAGCAACATCCAAATTGAAGGACATGAAATGGAATTTCACAAAAGTAAAAAATTATATTTGATCATTAAATATCTAAAAATGTGTATTCATTTGATTGACAGATAAAAATAAAAAGCGAGAATTTTGGACACGAGGTTTTTATCCTCGTTCAACGTTATATTTTTAGGGATAAATATTTATAATCATAATGAATACATATAATTTGAAAATAAATAAAATAAAAAAAATTAAAAATACATAATATTATGGTGAAAAGATAAAATTAGACACCGATAGAAAAATAGTATCATGATTGTTAGATATGACGACGTCGTCGAGCATGTGGGATCTGTTTCGACAGTTTCGTAAATTCAAAAATAATTCAAGTGGCGGTTTGTTTCGAAAACTCGAAAATGATTTAACATTTAATCTTAAAATTTATATGATTGTAAAATAAAAATTGAGACTTTATTAATTATATTCTTTTATTAAAGATTTATTGGAATATTCTTATATTTTCATTAATATTTTATTTTGAAGTATATAATGTTTATATACGATAAATGCAACAAATAAACCCATACACCATCTTCACATTTGGTTAGGTTTGAACCCCTAACCTTCTAAGAGGCCAAAGACTACGATATCACTAAGCCAAAAAACCCTTTAATAAATACATTCATTTATAGTTATTTTCACACAGGTGTTAGTTATTAAATTAAGAAATTAATTAAATAAATTAAATAATGACATTATTTGTAAAAGAGTTTAATAATTAACTAAATCTCTAAAATATTTTTAAATACATATAAAATACTAAAATTAATGCATCAAATTCATCATCATTAGAAATAAACAAAGAATACTAAAATCAAGTTTTGCCAAAAAAAATGACACATTTATATTTAATAACATAAAATGAAAATAAATTATACTGATTTTTGAACGAAACGAGTACAGGATTTTCCGTTTGACGAATATTCTTATATCTGAAATTGATTGTTTCCTCATCAACCACAAACAGAAACTACAGTAAGCATAAATTCGGCCCACAACGATTATATATTTTGCCATTATTAGATGACATTTAATGGTTAAGTGTTCCGTTAAAACTAATGCATATATAAAAGCTGTAATTATTTTAATGCAAGATAACAAATAGTGTGAAAGATGAACGTAAAACAAGAGAAACATTGCCTGTAGTCGGGTGGGTTATCAGGCCATTGATGAATCCACTGATTAAGAGGATGAGCATACAGTTTAAGGAAAACCCTCCAGAACTGAATTTTGTCCATTCCGTCCTTTATGCTTGTCCCATAACGAACGGGCTTGTGGATGTCATTAGACATGTACCTTACCTTCTCTGTAGTTGGTAGGTTGAAAAATCCAAATGCAGTTCCTAATGCTTCGTCAAGAACCTTTTGTGTGATCCCATGGTTGATTATCTATCCCCATAAAACAGAAAATAATTGAAGAAAATATTGGCTGATAGACATGTAAAACGATATGAAAACTGGGAAAAATCGATTGAAAAACTAACCTGGAAAAACCCACTCTCACGACAAGCATTTCCAATATTCTTGACAATCGTGGGGCGTTGATCAGGGTCATTCAGTCCAGCCAAGTCAATAACCACCACATCTGCCATCTCAGGGTCCAAAGTAGGTCGATCAGACGGTGAGATATCGTAACATTTAGGAACATGCGAAAACCTTGTTTCTTGCGGTGTTTCACCAATCGAAAACGTCTTTTCATCATGATCACCACTGTCCATGTTAAAGACCGAAAAGGAAAGTGAATAAGATGGAACTTTCTATGAGTAGAATGAATTCACTACCAAGAGAACTTCATGCCTATTTATAGGTTTGTCAATGTTAGATAACAAGCTTTCTAAGCCACCACTTTTTTCACCATTGCTATAAATAGAAACATTAAATAATATGATGACCAAAGTTTAAAGGCTGAGTACATACAATACGAACATAAACTATATTGATTTAAGGGAATACATCCAAAACCAACGTGTATTCGGCGCCCACAACAAACAAGTTGTGTTAGAAGCATGCATGGATCTAACCCTTTTTGTTTAGTGATTACACTGCTATAACCGTTCTAGACGTACATGTTTTTATGATTTTTTTTTTGTATTGTTGCATCATCATTTTCAAGTGGTGTTTGCATTGCAAATAGGCCCTTAGTGTAGTTGTGTCATTTGTTTAATGAAGGGTATTTTGGGGTTTATTAAAAAATTGAAGGGTGTTTGTGGTTTTTTTTTGTCAGACGAACGATAAGGAAAGAACGATATATATTTACCTGAAAAGAAACATAAAAAATGTACAAAAAAGGGTAAAGATTTTCGGCCTAAGGTGGAAAAGATCGGTTGGAAATTTAACAAAGAGAAATACTTCTGAATATTTCTTGTTTTAGGTTATCTAGAAAAATGTATATAAAACATTTAACAAAAACTTTTAAAAACATTTTTTTTTATGGATGAAGTATTGCTTATTGATGCATATTACTTAAAATTCAAGATTACATGTAAATTGTGTGTAATTACAAGTTATTAAAGCTTCATGTTTAAATTCGTGTAACTAACTGTAGATAAACATAACTAAATAGAGAATAAACATCTCATTTTAAATATAAAAAATCTAAAATATAATTAAAATGATTATTGAGTTATAACAAAATATTTAATTATTATCTTTATAAAAAAAATATTATTAAACCAAAAATTAAAAAAATGAATTAAAGAAATACACAAAAATGAGAAATTTTAAATAGTTAGTTTGGTACCAACATTAATTTTCTTTTTCAATTTTTTGTAATATCTTCATATTTATATCTTATTAAAAAAAATAAAAACATTGCGTTTTCTCAAAACTACATAAAACCGTATTACAACATTGACTGAGAAAAAAAAAACGAAACATTAAAATCGAAATTTATCTCGCTGCATTATGCGAGTACCCTTCTAATATAGAAAAATATAAATATTTAATTCAAGTTTGTTTTATACTCACAATTTTCTTTTGAAATCAATAATTGACTTTTGTTCATATGTTTTTTTTATTTCAATATCATCGAATCTAATTTAAATGAAGATGATAAAATAGAGGAGTTGAATAACTGGATATATATCAAAGAGGTTTAAACAAAAACAATAACCAAATAAAAATATACAAAAATGGTCACATCACGTATAAAATCAGATGTGATTTTAACTAACGGTCAACCTAAATGAGTGCAGGTGACGTGGCCCACGTCACCCGCAACTTCAGATTACGGCTAAAGTCGCGTGAATCACATGAGATTTTATACATGATTCGATCTTTGAGTAAAAAATGCGTCAATCAAAATGGATTGGATTAGGGCAACCGATACAACATTTTTTTTGTCTATCTGTTAAAAATAATTATGTCTTAAATATAACTGCAAACTATATTACTACAAAAACAATATTATTTCTACTCACGTAACTTTTAGGGTGCGTTTGGTAGGCAGAACAGGGTGGGACAGGACAGGACAAAACACACTTGTCCCATGTTTGTTATGGCTTTATGTGGGACTAACTAGAACAAGGGTGGGACACGGGAGTCCACCCTTTACCCCTGGAACTAACTAGAACAAGGAATTTTTTACCCCTTTACTCTCAATCCCTTCCACCGTCTCCTTCATCCCCTTCACAGCGTCTCAATCTCGTCTCCCGGAGATGCGCCTCCATCGCACACCCTCAATCGGCGACCCTTCATCGCACACCCTCAATCGGCGACCCTCCATCGCACACCCTCCATCTCGACGGCGACGACACCCTCCATCTCGACGGTGACGGGAGTTCTAGTCCATACACACAGTCCGCCTCCATCGCATTACCTTCTCCTTCATCAGGTACATGATTGCCCTAACTTTCTCCTTCTCCATCGCTATGTTTGAATCGATTTAGGGTTTGCTAGGTTTGAATCGATTTAGATGCAAAAGCTCGTTAATTAGGGTTTATGCTAAGAGGATTACAGCAACTACATTTTTACCAGCTTGTTTGATGGTGGTTTCGTACTCGATTTCGCCAACAACTTGATTAATTGAAGTACTTATTAGGGATTGATTATTTCTGAGAGTTTACATTGATTATGATTGCTGAATGTTGTTGTTGATGAATTGGTTTACATTGATTATAATTGTTGAATTGATTATGAGAGTTTACTTGATTTCGTAGTGAAAAACACTAAACAGCTCACGGGGTAAATTGGTCATTTTAACCAGTTCTGTCCTGTCCTGTCCTGTCTTACCAAACGCTGAACAGCTGTCATGTCCCGTCCTGTCCTGTCCAGTCCTGTCTGCGCACCAAACGCACCCTTAGAGCCAACTTGTTCAATCCCGTTTTAGTTGTACCAAACACCAAACAGGCAATTTGTTTTGTCTAATCAAGTCATATAATTCTATCTTATCTAGTTTTGTTTAGTTCTATCCAATCAAATCAAATCCTTTTTGTATACCAAATGCTGCTCAAATAAATTTCTACACATTTCACTCCTCAACGTATTTGGTAAGTTTGACTTTTAGCTATCTATACTATATTATAAAATATTTGACAAAAACTCTTAAAAACTATTTTTTATGCATAAATGACTGTTTATTAATACATGTTACTTAAAACTCAAGATTCAAGTAGATTGTGCATAAGTACAACTTATTAAAGCTTCATATCTGAATTCATGTAACTAACTGCAGATAAACATAATCAAATACAAGATAAACATCTCATTTTAAATACAAAAAATCTAAAATATAATTAGAATAATTATTGTGTTATAACAGAATACTTAATTTTATAAAATGTTATATTATTAAATCAAAAATAAAATTATTTCATTATTAAACTTAAATTAAAGAAATTACATAAAAACTGAGAACTTTTAAATAGTTGATTTGATACTAACATTGATATATATATTTTTTCTAAATTTTTATGATATCTTCAAACTTATATTTTATTCAAAAATAAAATCATTACTGTTTTCTTAAAAACACATAAAATCGCATTATAACATCGACATAAACATAGAATAAAATAGAACATTAAAATTGAGATGTATCTCGCTGCATTGCGCGAGTACCTTTCTAATATATTTTAATTGATTCATTAACAATAAAATAAAAATATATTAAAATTGTCGATTATAAATTTAAAAATCTAATTAGTACCTAATTTTTTTTTATTAAATTATACTTAAACAAAACCAACTCTACAATTATTATGATTAACAAAAAATATTAAATTAGGTAATTTTATTATTTAATATTTCGTAAACATGAGCGGTTCCGAAGTGTTGGGTAATTAGCTCATCTCCTCAAATTCCGTAAATGGCAAATGGCACCCCTCAACTTGTTACGGTTTTTCTTTGACTCAGATCTCTCTCGATATGTCATTCACGTTTGTTTTCTTCCGCAACTTGATTCCAATGCTTCACATCAAACTAATCGATAAGTTTTGGTACGATTTTTGGATTCCGTGCAATCTTCATATCAAATCTACGAGATCTGTTATGGGTCTTGGAATCAAATTGATAAATTTCGTTGAATTTTAAAGTCTTATGATTCGGTTTCGATTTGTAAACAGTTTTGTTCGAATCCGTTCTATTATTTCCGACAAAAATCTAAATTGAGCAAAACCATAAGGTACATATCAGTTTTTTTTTATAATGTTTACAGAACTTTTATTTTGTTACTTATTATGGATTGATTTTTAGATGAACTGAAATACCTGAACAAAACATAAGTGTATTCGTCTGTTTGATATGGTAAGTTTAGTTTTGTTGTTTATTCGTTTGTTTATACTGACATGATTAGTTTTGTGATTCGGTTTGACAAAAAACACTGAAATAGCTTCTTAACAACTAAATTTGTTCTTGGTTTTGGCTTAAATATAAATGAAATACCATTTTTATTAACCTGGATACCCTACCCGCTATGCGAGCCGACTAATCTCAGGACGACCACCTGCTTTGCAAATAGCCCGGAGTCACCACATTTGAACCTCCGTGGCCACAAGAGGATTTTAATTTTTTCTTGGATTTGAACCTGAAACCTCCTGATACTTTTGACATTTAGAGCCTAGTTTTGACCAATCAGACACCACTCTTGTGGTTTATAAATGAATACCATTTACACCACCATAAATAACTTAAAGTATAGAGTAAACTACAATTGTAGTCCCTAAGGTTTAGTGAAATCTTTGAAAGTGGGACCTAAACTTCAGTAAATCGAGTTTTCATCCTCCAGATATGCATTTTGCTATAAAAGTGGAACCCGACTACTAACTCCATCTCATTTATTTGTTAACTAAGGATAAAATTGTCCAACCATATTTTAGGTCCCACTTTTAGATATTTTACTAAACCTCATAAACCAAAATTGTAGTTTACTCTTGAATATATAATGAATTAATTCTATTTTGAAGTAAAAATTAATAATTTGATTGTTAGTTTTTTTAATTCAATCAAAATAATTAAAAATAATAATAATTTTGAAGTTAATAAATAAAAATAATAATTATATAAACTATTAGAAGTCAATAAACATAAAATATTAAGTTATATATCTAGAATTTGTTTTAAATACAACCTGTTGTATTTGTACAACCAATGCAACCCAATAAATTGAGATATTTATGGAAATGGTGAGAGTTCATTAATTATGATTTGAATATTTATGGAAGATGAATATGGTTCATCAATTATGATCAATATTTTATATTAGGAAACAATCAAAACTTCTATGAAATCACATATTAATCAAATGAAATGGACAATTGAGATTGAGTTGTATTGGTTGCACAAATGTCATGGGTTGTATAATAACCAACCTCTATATATCTATACTATATTATAAGATATTTAACAAGAACTTTTAAAAACCATCTTTTATATACTAAGTACTGTTTATTGATGCATATTAATTTTAAGAGTCTCATTTAATGATATATACACTGTGAAGCATATCTATTTGGGTACCCCATTGTTATATGTGAAACTTGATGTGTCTATAAAAGGATGTTTCAATAAATAGATATTTTTTAAAGTGCAGATCTTTTAATTAGGTTTTTGGAAGATGGTTTCCAAAAATAGAAAGTATGATCAATTTATATATTTATTGTATTATATAATTAACGAGAAATATGCATCAATGAATAATCTAAAACCTTTTCTTAAGCATTTTGCTGAGTCTTGGAAATTTAAATCGACAATCACATGAACAACAAAGCAAAAATCATTGAAGGCACGTTTGGTACACAAACTACATATAACTTCATTCCAGAATCCAGATGAATTGGTTTAAGCATATATAAAAATAACATTAGGTGAATTGATTTATCTTTACACTAAAAGAACAAGAAATTGAGATACTTTTAACAAAACCATCAACCAACGTTATCATAGTAACATGATTGTAAATTTGCGGTAGAAAAACAATCAATGAGCAGGGGTGGTAGCAGAAAAATCGTATGTATTCACATAGTGGGAACAATGTCCCCACAGTGGTGGTGTAAGTGCATGCTGATAATATCATCGCTGCAAGTAATAAAGTGGTAGTATATTAAGATCGTTTTCACAGGGACTGGACTATTGAAAATTTGAGATTTTCATGAACTTATAGTGCAAGTTTTGGATGTGAAAAAAATTAACGACTTGTTGGTGAAATGCTTAAAAGACGAAATAAATTTGTAATTTAAGGATGGGTATGGGTATAAACTTTCCTTAAGATAGTGATAGTAACATAATAATCAGAAACTTATGGAACTTCTATAAAAATTTCAATCTCTCATAGTGAATTTTTATATACAGTGCCCATAAAGTCCGTACAAAGTTCTCATTATCGCAGATTCTAAGCTTGTCAATTTAGCTAAGTGATTCAAAAATATCAAGTTTCATTAGTCTGAAGACTTATACTCAAATCTCTTTATAGTGCAAATCTTGACCAATATTTGAACCTTAGCTAAAAACTTACAAAATCCATAACTTTATGTGATTATCAAAGACTTTCTAAAATCTTTGTGCATCACTTAAGCCATATTTTGAATCAGTCAATCTTTGGATCAATGATCTAATATTAACACTTAAAAATGATCAACTTATTCGTATTGAGTTTAAGTCTTGACTCAAGTGACCAAGTTAAGAATTAGCAATATTTGCAACATTCAAGTGTTGCATATTAGTCTTAAGTTTGACTCATACCCACATGCAAAAGGATGGTGATGTGCTCCGACCCGGTGGGGAACCCAGCTCACCTGACCCGAACGGGTATGGGGATTCCCCGCTAAAACGGGTCACTGGTCGGGGTAAGAGATCTCTCGTAGACTCAAACTAACATATATTTTTCATAAGGTTTGACTAGGGTTTTATCGGGTTTGACCGGGGAAGTAATGTTAATCCCAATACCCACCGGGGACCGGAGCCGAGGCCGAGGCCGGGGGCTATTACAAAAAACCAGGGCCAAGGATTACAAAACCCGCCCCGTTACCATGCCTAAACTAGCTCATAATAAAGAAATAAAACATAATAGGAGAAGAGAATAAATACTTAAGAAATACTTTGATTAAAATAAAACTTGAATCTGCCACCATAATGGTGGGACAGTGAAAAGAAATTACAATACAAGAAATTAAAATGCTACAACTAAAAACCTCCAGAATTCTTCTTGAGAGAATCTAGATATGAAGATGGGATGCCCCGATGCTTCTTAAGGGTTCTTCATACAGGGGAGAAAAAGACGATGTTGCCACCTTTTTATCCGTTCGAAGGAGGTTTTCTCAAATCTTTTAGGTCACAAAGCTATTCTCTTTCTTCTTTCAAGGCTCTATGCATCCAAATTTGTCTTCAAGAAATCTTTATCCACAACTTCCATCCTTATCCAAATCAGCCTGAATTCTTCTCACAGTGGTGACATTGTGGGCACAGTCTAACAGTGATGGTTTTTAGAATAAAATTAAGTAATTTGTATTTCATCGCCTCTTTAAAATATTTTGAATAAAAGAGAGCAAAAAGAAGCAAACTGGGTATGTAAAATGCCATAAAACAGGAGTAACGATCAAGAATCCGAAATAACTTTCAAAACTGAGAGATATCAAAGAGGAACGGCTATCAAGTGAGGGGGTGGGAATTCCGTCAAAACGAGTTGGGCTACTGGAGGGAACCGTTATAAATAACTGTGGAAACTAAGGACATAAGAGTATAAAAACAATTTTTTACCTAGATTACTCAAAAAAATTATTCTTTCAGCGGGTCACATTCTTATGTCTGAATCCGCCCCTGATTGGTTTAGTCTTAAACAGAAACCCCTCAATATCGTTTAGCCACCAAGACGTTCATTTGAATGAATGCTTGACTCAACCATATTTTCAGTAAGATTTTAGTATCTTAATCGGTTCCATATACATGTCAATACCTTATGTTGGATTTTACTAAGAGAAAAAATTGATCTGTTTTCAATTTTCGAAAAATTTGACCTAAAAAATAACTCCAGACCACTAATGGTCGTTTGGAGAATTAGGGGTTGTTTACTAAGTGCTTACCCGGTAAGTGCTTATTGGACAATTTTCCTCACAAGATTAACATGACAAGGGCCAAGAATCTTACCTGGTAAGAACGACGATAAGAATGGAGAGTCTTACCCAGTAAGTGAGGGTGAAGACTCTTACTCGGGTAAGCGTTTACCGGGTAAATGTTGCATAGGTAGCCGTTTTGATGTACTACAATCTTATCCGATAAAAATAAATTATAATGTTGATTCCTACCGGTAAATACTTACCGAGTAAACATTTGGGTAAACGGCCCAAAATGAGTACTTTGATTATACATATCATTTTAATTATAAAAAAAACATATACATCTTGGAAAATATTTATCCTTAAATTTTGGGAAAATAAAAAAAAAGAAAAAGAAAAAGAAAAAAAAAAGAAAAGACAAAATGGGGTGTTCAACTGCCAGGCAACAACGTTTTCATGCCTCCAACCACCAAACCAGAAATGCAATAAATCCTAAGTAACTTCGTTAATTTTCTTCAAATGGTTCATCAACCCACATACATAACAAGTTGACCAAAGCTTTACACACTTGTACCGTACAACATCACAATCTCAGAAATCACAAAGAAAAAAAAAACTCCATTTTTCGATCTCGAATTAATCGATACCCAAGTCCTGTTCAAAAACCTCGTCCAAAAACTTGTATATAGAAGGATTTCCCGCAGCGCAACAGTTCTTCCGTACCAACTTAGCTGCCCGACACCGCTACCGTTCGGTCAAAAACACCAGTTAAATTGATGGAAGACTTCATCACACACGTCCCGTATCAAAAATCACTATGTTAAATTGATATTGTAACAATTTATTAGCAAACTGACACTTACCATTTTGACGGTTACTCACAACATCAGTAGAAGAAAATTATATATAAATTATATAAAAAAAATATGAATTTTTTTTAAATTTAATTATATAGTAGTTGGTTAGGTGATCTATAATTTTTGTACATATGAAGCAACCAACCTTTAACTATATATATAACACAAGAACCCCAAGGTCACATTGAAGCATAGACATGGGAAAACAACTTTTGCTTGTGGTTCTTGGCCTCATAGCCTTTGGTTTTGCAATAACATCCAATGCTAACATGTATATAGTCGGCGATAACTCTGGTTGGGACATTAGCACGAATCTCGATACATGGGAGAAGGACAAGAAGTTCGTTGTCGGTGACGTTTTAGGTAATTGTTCGGTTTTGTGTATGTGTGAGTTATCTGCTTTTTTGGTATCTTAAAGACATGTTTTGTTTGTTTAGTGTTTCAGTATACGTCTACTGAAACTGTCTGCGAGGTGGGCCAAGAGAGTTTTCGAGCATGCAACACCACAAACGTTATAAAGTGTTTTAGTGATGGAAACACGTCTATTCCTCTGACGAATCCTGGAGAAAGGTACTTCTTTTGTGGTAACAGATTGTACTGTTATTCCGGCATGAAGCTTGATGTGATTGTAGAAAAGAATCAAGCAGCAGTTGCGGAGGCACCTCTTAGCGGCGTACCTGAAGCGGAGAGCGGTGGCTCCAAGAAAAATAACCCTTCAACTGTTGTACGTAGTGCTGCTGTATCTGTTCGTGTTGAATCGAATTCGGTCGTGTTGGGGGGTTTGGGGTTGTTGTTGAGCATTTTGGTCAAGATAATTTAACCATGCAATTTGTGCACATATCTTGTAATGATGTTTTGTTTATTTGATACATTAATCAATTCATGATGATTTTGCGTGTGAATTTGGATTTTAGTCATGTTTTTCAACTAATTTGTTTTGCATAAATAAAATAAATCATATTTTATAAAAGGTTTCTAGTAGAAGGGTACTTGCGCAATGCAACGAGATACATTTCGATTTTAATGTTTCGTTTTATTCTGTCCCCTGTCTATGTTATAATACAGTTTTATGTGGTTTTGAGAAAAACGATAATGAATTTATTTTTGAATAAAATATAAATTTGAAGATATATTAAAATTTAAAAAAAAATCGATATTAGTATCAAATTACCTATTTAAAAGTTCTTGTTTTGTTGTGTAATTTTTTTAATTCAACTTTTTTATTATAATTTAATTAAGTACTCTGTTAGAAGACAATGATTATCCTAATTATATTTTAGATTTTTTATATTTAAAATGAAATATTTATCCAGTATTTGATTATGTTTATATGTAGTTAGTTACACGAATTCAGGTATGAAGATTTAATAAGTTTTACTTATGCATTATTTACTTGTAATCTTGAATTTTAAGTAATATGCATCAATAAACAGTACTTCATGCATAAAAAATAGTTTTTAAGAGATTTTGTCAAATATTTTATAATATATAATAGATTGTGCATTTGGAAATAAAACTACAAACATACGATTAGCCATAAAAAATAGGAGTAAACATGGTAATGTACCATGTTTTTCCCCCCTATACTGTGTATCAACTAATTATAATTAATCAGTAAGGAAAATTTTATACCATGTACTAATCAATTATCATTGGTATCAAGTTTTATCAGCTAATACATGTTAGTAAGTACTGGTTTTGTACTAACATTTCAATATCTGAAGTCAGGTTATAATTTTTAATAGTAAAAAACTAATATAAACATTCAAACAAAGGTACGTTTTCGGATATTCATAAAACAAACAACGTTCAATAGTTATTACATTATTAATTAGTAATTAAACAAAAAAAATTATTTAAGAAGGTCGGTACGATATAATAGAATTGTGGTATAAGATTTCCCATATCAAGTTTAAATACGTAGTACAACAATATCAACCAACTTAATCATTGGTGTACTTAGTACGACAGTATCAACCAACTTAATCTAGCGGTATCGTAACATTTGGTCTTCAAGAAGGTCAGAGATTCAAACCTCACCATAGGTGAGGAGGGTGTGTGAGTTTATTTATTATATTTGTCATATATAAATATTATATACTTTAAAAAGACTTAATCATTGGTATCAATTTAATTGATATAATTAGATGTATATAACATTGTTATATCTAACTATGAAACTAAAAAAAAAATCAACGCAATAAAGCAATTATTGCTGACAATTTTTAATCGAAAATAAATATAATGTTGATTTAATTAGGTGACGGTTGATATGCATACATAATTGGACAGTACTGAACATGACAGAACTGGACAGGACATGACAAACAGGTAGGATTGGACATGACAGAACATGACTGGACGGGACATGACTGGACATAACAGGAGCATGTATGGTGTTTGGTACGACTAGGACTGAACGAGACAGAACTAGACAAGCTACCCCCAAAAGTTATTTGATGATTTTAAATATTATATAATAGTTATAATTAACACAAATAAAGTAAATAATTAAAGAATTTAATTTATAAATATTTGTACATAATTTTCATATTTGTACCAAATTTGAATAATTTTTTTGATATAATTGATGGTAGTGGTGGTGGTGGTGGAGGTGGTTTTGGTTGTGGTGGAGGTGGTGGTGGTCGACGGTAGTAGTGGTAACGGGCGATGGTGGTCGGTGGCTGACAGTGGTTATGGAGGTAGAGGCAGTGGTGCTTGGTGGACCACGGTGGTAATAAATGACATGAAGATGGTAGATTGTGGTTGTGGTGGCGGTGGCGGTTGACAATGGTGGAGGAGGTAGTTGTGGTTGATATAGTGAAGATAGTGGTGGTGGTGGTTATGGTGGAGGTGAGGTGGCAATGAATGGTGGTGGTCGTGGAGGAGGTTGTTGCAGTAGAGGAGGAGTTGAAGGTGGCGAACGGCGTAGTGGTGGTGGCAATGAACGGTGGTGGTCGGTGGTCGACTATGGTAGAGGTGGCAATGGACTTGGTGGACGGTGGTTGTGGAGGAGGTGGAAGATGTTGTAGTGGAAGAAGAGGTAGAGGTGGAGGTGACAGTCGGTGACCGTCGGTAGTGGTGGCGGCCACCGAAACTAGCGGTGATGACCATTAAAACAAATATCATATTAAGGTTATATATCAAACTAGAGTAGATGGATAATATTTTAGTTGCTGTCTCATTATTGTTCCATCTATTTTGGTGGAACAAGAAAAAAACATCTTTTGTCTCATGTTGTCCCCCCTTGTCCCAGTTCTTGTCCCTGTCTCATGTTGCGCCAAACGTGAGACAGTAAGTTCTTGTTCCATCTCATACTGCGCCAAACATGGGACATTGAGTTTTGTCTCGTCCTGTCCTGTCTCGTCTCGTGTATCAAACGCAGATGGATCAAATAACTTAAAATATTTTAAATAAATTAATATGAATTAAAATATTATTTATTACTTGAACGACCCAAAAATATACGCCGGTTACAACGTGTGGGGATGAAGGGCTAGCGGTCTCTCCGTATCAGCAAAAAACCCGGTTTAATATGTAACTAAACTTAACCGACCTGGTGCATTGAGTTCCATTAACCCGGGTTTCGTAATTCACTTTCTTTCGGAAAGAGAGATGGCGGAAGAGGAGAATGGAGCTGCCGGCGGCGGGGAGTTTTACCTGAGGTATTACGTAGGGCATAAGGGGAAGTTCGGCCACGAGTTTTTGGAGTTCGAGTTCCGTCCAGATGGCAAGCTCCGTTACGCCAATAACTCCAACTACAAGAACGATACTATGATCCGTAAAGAGGTCTTTCTCACGCCTTCCGTTCTCAAGGAATGTCGCCGTATCGTCTCTGATTCTGAGGTCAGTTATCTTCTATATCTTTGTTTAATTTTGTTTTAAGAGCTTTTAGAGTTAGATTTACAGACATTATTGGATTTGTGGATACTTTTATGTCCAGAGTTCAGTTTATTAGTTGAATATTGGGGTTTTGATAGGAAATGATGGAGTTGAGATGAACTGATTCTCCAACACCTTGATTTTTAATACTCAACTGATTGTATTGCCTAGCCGAGTTTCATTGGGTTAGGGTTTAGGGTTTTGGTGGCTATCACTCGTTGGAATAGCATAATTTGTTGATATTGTTGTCTTGAATATACCTAGTAGTATAACACTATTTACATCCAGCCTCTGGATTACCCTACTGGTTTGTTGTTAGTCCATGGATTCCATGACCTTGATACATCATGAAAGCTACATTTAGGGGAGAAGGGTCATTTATAGATACAAAGTATGCCTTTTTACCCATTTTGGACTATACGTGTATGCTCTGGTTCATAACATGCATTAGTTTGAAGGGTAGCAAACAATTTGCAACTGTAAAGAGTGATTTTGCAACTTCAAAATGCAAGGAAGTGATTTGAGTTGGTTAATATGACAAAGCCTTGGACTTTTTTGCTTTTTCTTGGTTAAAGCGTAAAAGTTGGGCTAGGACTTCTAATATGCCCATATATTTCTGTAAAAATGTTTGTAACATATTAAACTTTCTGGAGCCTAAAACGAGATAAATGATACTCCATGTGTTTGTATAATAGATTATGAAGGAAGATGATAACAACTGGCCGGAACCAGATCGTGTGGGACGGCAAGAGCTTGAGATTGTGATGGGCAATGAACACATCTCTTTTACTACTTCAAAGATCGGGTCTCTCATGGATGTGCAGACCAGTAAAGACCCAGAAGGGCTACGAATCTTCTATTATCTTGTTCAGGTACACAACAGATTCCTGTAGTTGATGTCAGTCATAGTAACCATATTAAATACATCATGATGTTAAATTTCTTGATAACTTGTCGGTATGTGGTGATATGTGGTTGTGAATTGTGACGATATGAATCTAAGTGTTTTGTCTGTTCTACACTACACACACATAGGGAAAGCAGGGCTTAAAACAAGTTGGACCATAGAAGTCATGAACCTTATAACTGAGATTAGTTGAACCCTTAACTAGGAAGCAAGTTATAGTGTGTTCTATGCTTACAAAATTTAGTGGAGGTTGTTAACATGCTGCCTGATACATTTGGGGCAACTGTAACATAAAGCAAATCCTCTTATTGGATTCCTAAACTCAACATTCCGTGTCCTGATTTGGATTTACTCGAGTCTTCATTTTTTGTGTGAATGCTCTTAATCTTGGGCATATCTTTCTGGAACTTTTTGAAAGTCTGAAAGTGGGATCTTTTTTCTTTTTCTTTCTAATATTTGAGATGTGAGAACTGATTTTTTTGATCTGATTTCAGTTGTATATGTGAGGCATGTTCCTTTAATTGGTGTAAGGGCCTGTTTGTTAGCAGCTTAATGAACTCGCAACTTATTCAGTCAGCTATACATGATTGTTTGGTAGTGGCTTAATGATATAGAAAGTTGCTTATTTAGTAAGCTTCTAGGAGGGAGCTTTATGCAGAAAGCCGATTTTTTTAGAACTTGCCCCTCTCAATTAATATACACGCTCCTTCCATCTATGAATTACCCTTCCCAAATTTTTTTTTCCAATCTATACAGACAGATTAATTCACAATGACAACTTTACACACAAGACTTCATGGAAAACCAAGCAAACATCCCCTAAGAATCCTTAGTGTAGCAGACCATGCTGAATAACATGTGTAGGAGCCAATGATGGGAGAGTTTTGGGAGATGGTTAGAGAAATATTTTTAATAATTCATGGAAGTTGCTGATACTGTTGCTCTTAGTCAGTTTGCACTATTAGCATCGTCAGTGGAACTTGCTTGGTAGAAATCTTGATAGAAATCTTGTTATTCTCCATAATAACTGGTTAACTGTTTACAGTCTGCTTTCAATACTTCTTTACCAGAGGCTAAAAGATGGTTAATTATTATACACTTTCCATCTCTTAGCTTATATACATGTATCGTAAATGTTGATATCTAATAGTACCAGCGTTCAATGGTATATGTATTGTATATGTTTAGAATGGTAATCATGTAGGAAAGGAAAAAGAGTAAGAGAAAGTCTGCATGAGGTTAACTCTCTCCCTTGGTTAGATCCCAGCCACACTGGTATATTAAACCAAAATTTCATGGCATAGGAGAATATAAGTTTTGGCACAGGGTATTTATTGGGGCTTGCCATCATTTGAGGATTTCAGTAGTGTAAGAAGCCAAAAAATCTTATGGTATGGCTAACATAATGAGTATCATATTCATGAAAGGTTCGTTAATCTTTGAAAGGAAGGAAAAGTGCTCTATGTAGCAATGGGGTCCTTCGGTTAAATGAACTTATGACAGTTTTTCCTTATATCCATGACCTTCTGATAGATTTGAGAATGCCACTCTTAACAGAAGAATGCTACTTCCATACACAAGAATGTCTGAAAACCTGTCAGAAGGTCATGGATTTAAAAAACACTTGTCAGGACATCATTTAGCTAAAAATAACCCTAGAAATGTTCAATTTTACCAAGAGGATCATCTCAAGTCCTTTTGCAACTTATTATTATCTGTTTATGAGTCATTCAAATATATTAACTAATATAGTGTATACTACGTGGCTTTCATTCCGCCAACTATCATTTTGTCTTCCTAAAGTATATAATCTAAGCGTTTGCCGACACTTTTTTGCTAACACGAAAAATGAAACAATACAGGACTTGAAGTGTTTCGTGTTCTCGCTGATATCACTCCACTTCAAGATCAAGCCAATTTAAGAACTTCGATGGTAAGGTTTGAAGGTGGTTGTTGGATATTTTGTGGTTGCCCAAGTTGATGTTTTATGTGATTGAAATTTGTATGGAAACATGGTGGAGCTAAGTTTGGTGTTAAAGAACATGTTATATCGGCTTGGATTGGGTGTCTTTATCTTTCATTTAAGGTTACTGATATTTGATTGAAATTTAAAAGTGTAACGACTCAATTGCCTTAAAAGTTAGTGCTACCATTGCATTCCTTTCTTATTTACATTTGTGTTAAGATATGGAATAAGATGGCTTAATGTGGACAGTGAATACGTGATGATAATGATTTATCGAATTCAGCTATTTTTGAAGAGTAATCTATTAGAGTTTCACATATTCTTTCATGGTATCAGACTCGATATCTACCACTCTAGGGACTCGATGCTAGTATGGGGTAATTTGTACTCGTTTAGTCCCCTCATCCGTTTAGCTCCTGCTCAACACTTGAGGAAAATGTTTATGTCCGACTAGCCCCTCATGATCCATTTAGCTCCCTCTCAACGCTTAAGGACAATTTGTGTCCGTTTGGCCTCCATTGAAGGGGGCGTGTCGTAGCAGCACCGGTGAGTCGGTAGTAGAAATCATTAAGCTTCATAGCCAACCAAGGAACGGAAGATACCATTGGTGGTGGACAAAAGGGAGGAGAGCACGTACAAGCTGCTGTGGTGTCTAAAAATGCCATGACTGAGAATTGCAAGGGTACTCTCATCCTGCTCTACGTCAAACCACCCCAAGTGGTCTAACTAGCTCTCGATGGAACTGGCTGAGGAATAACGGCGATGCTTCTACCTCTACTTAATGCTTCTGCACCACCACCACCTGTTGTGACGGACTTTTGAACCGCCTTTTTCCTCCCACCACGCCTCCTTCTAGCAGCGCGGTGAACTTGCAACAAACCAAAACGCAAGAGGTTGAGGAGGAGATTAAGAGGATGACATGGATGGATTGACCAAAAGCCTATGTGAGGTCGCTTAATGGAAGAAACATAATACCCATTAGGGTTAGATACGAAAATTGTGATGACGACAGTAATGACATGGTGGTTGGTGGGATGGGTGGTGGGGTGGTAGTTGTGACAACAACAATGATGGCATGGTGGTCAGGTGTTGGGGGTGGGGGGTGGGGGGTGGCAGTTGTGACGACTGCATTAGTATTATAGTGGTCAGTGGTGGGCGGGGTGAGTGATGGTTGTCACAGTGATGGGAGCAAAGACTGGGTAGTGCTGGTTAAATCAGATGCAAATGGATGTAATTCAGTTCTTTCACTTATGCTAAAAAATGATAAATTCACTAATTTGTGGAATTTAGAAGGATTCTATCCATTTCAATATGTGAATTAAACAAAGGAATTTGAATTTTTTTTGTGAGATTTGAATTCATGACCTTAAAAAAATGAACTCTACCGATTACCCATGCGCCGCCCTTGTTGGAGGAAATCTATAAAATAGAGATAATGAGAGTGTACAACTTTGATAAAACCGTGAGATCGCGTAAAACCTTGTTTCTTTATGTTGTATTTCGACCTAATTTTTTCCAGGTATCACGAATAATCTCGAGCATAATCTCTGATTTTCAGTAACAATTTTGACATAAATTGTTTCATTTTTTCAACTTAGAGAATTGTAACCATTCCTAAATTAATGCATAGAATATCTCTCCATAAACGAAAATGATTGTTGGAGTAATTAGTGGGTGATTAAATGCATAACAGTTACCAAAACCGCATAAAAACCCTAATCCAAAACCGCATATGAATCAGCTAACTCCTTAGAGCCTCTGAATTTCACTTAAAACATTTAGAAACTCATCTTCCACGGGTGGGAGTGGGACCACCGCTGGACCGCTCCCCCTTGTACCCCACAAGGGAGCGCAATCCCCTTGACCCCGCCAAATGGCGCCACCTCACAATTCCAGATTCTAGTTAGTTTACACGAGTGTCCACTTCACACCTACTAACAAACAATCACCAATATACCCTTTGGTTTCTACTCAGAATCTTTGTTAGGATGTAGTTTGTACGTTCGTTTTCTCGTGTTGGTGTTAATGGTGTTAATTGTGAAAGAAATAATAACGAGAAGAGAATAAAGGAAAAACACACTCAAATTTGTAACATAACGTACGTAGGATGATCATGCTTATATATATGTATGTAGGATGATCATGCTTATATATATGTATGTATATATATATATATATTGACCATCTCTATTATATGAACACAATTACAACCACACTTGCACACCACACACATACCAGTACAGTACATATCTAGAAGATTAATTGCTAACATACTTGTACCTTGTTGGACCATCAAGTTATTATATACTAATTAAAGCATACATATATAGGCTTCTTCACAAGGCAGCAGCACCAGCACCAGCAGCTGCTTTATCCGTGGTTGTTCGGACCACCTCCTCCTTCGCTGCCACCACCACCACCACTACCAAAACCATGCCCACCTCCATAGGCTCCACCACCACCATAGCCATAACCAGAACCAGAACCAGAGCCTGAACCACTCCCACTCCCAGTACCATAACCATATCCATAGCCCTTACCAAACCCATTAGCAGAATGACCTGATCCAGACCCATAACCCCAACCACTCCCAGGACTCGAACCATAACCCCAACTATAGTCCCAGTTCGGACCATGGGCTGACCCAGTAGCCGCAGCTGGAGTAGAAGTGGGCATTTGGTTCACAAGGGTTTTTCTTCCTTCTTTAGGGTTGTAAGCCAAAGTAGCAGCAGAGATACAGAAGACAAGAATGACAACGATTTGGTATGTTTTGAAATGCATCTTGTTTGATGAAGGTTTCTAAAGGTCTTTATTAGTGGTTTAAGGAATTAAATGGACTTTGTTGGGTTTATATAATGATGAGTGGGGGTGAGTTGAGTATGGTGCATGAGGGGTATTTCTGTAATTTTGGAGGGGTATGAGTACCCGTGAATGGTGCTAAATTGCGCAGGACACACACACTTGTTACAATCTTGAAGGTGGGTATAAGATAGGGGGTAGTCATTTGCCACTTGTGATTCGCACCACCGGCCTGCCCTCCCCCAACTATGGTAATTAATAAAGTAATTGCATGCATATGATCAATGTTATGCCCATGGACTCTATCTCTACCAATTATATATATATATATATACACAGAGAGATGAGCGATCAAATAAAAACCACTTTAATTTGTAAAAACCGTAAAAACTACTTTCATCTGTCGTTAATTTTATAAATTTTTTTCATGAAATTGTTAATCTTGTGAAATTGTTTCATATAGTACTTTTTTTGATGAAGTTGTTTCATATGTGGTTATGAAATTGTTTCATATACTACTTAATGAAATTTTAATGAAACTGTTTCATATGATAATACATGTTAAGTGACTTAGTGGTGTGTGGATGACTAGGCTTGCGACCTGAGTTGCATTTGCATCTCTGATTTATTATCAGATATGATGGATTATAGTATCACATCGAGAACACTATTATCACATGCAAAATTCACATGAGGGGGGTATAGTGGTGTGCAAGTGATTTGGTCCACAACCTAGATTGTGTCAAGGATCGTCTTTGTCTCTGATTTAGTATCGTATGTGATTGACTATAGTAAAAGTTGTTCTCACGTTTTGTAAAATGAATGTGTTTTCGTGTGAACCCTTATATTTATATATGTATATATATGTATATATATACATACACACACACACGAGAGAGAGAGAGAGAGAGAGAGAGAGAGAGAGAGAGAGAGAGAGAGAGAATGGTAAGAACACTTCTGAGCTTTAGATGAGTTGACTTTTAATCTAACTTCATTTTCTTCAACTACTTTTAGATAATACCTTCAAGGCTTCATCCAGGGACGGATAATTTTCCGCACCAATCCTTATTTACTACTACATCTTTTTTTGGGGTGTATAGCTCAGTTGGTAGAGCATTGGGCTTTTAACCTAATGGTCGCAGGTTCAGAATTTTTTTCAAACGATAGCACCATTTGACTATAAGAAAGACCAATAGGCCATCATTTGACTATAAGAAACAAATACACGGAATTTTTCTCAAACGGTGGTACCATTTGACTAAGAACATGACACTAACAATATTCGAACTTGGGTCAAAGTCTTGCAAACCAACTCTACTAAAGAAAACTTGTTTTCATTGTAGTTTCAAAACACATATGATGACACACAACAGATTAATACACATTTCACGAACCTAAATTTTTTACCCTTCGATGAAGGAATAATATGGTGGCACGTACCACCATATGCACCACTATAAATCCGTCCATGGCTTCAAACTACATTTATCTAACTTTATCTTCACTTTAAATTATTTTCACAACTTTTATTTACACTTTGTCACTGTCACATGCATGAATTTGTTATAGTTTCGGTCAATAATAAATAAAAATAAGTGAATAAAGATAGTTGAATGTACATGAAGGTATATAAATGTTTTGTTTTCACCAGAACTCATATTTTCATCAGAACGCAAAAGAAGGTCCTCTGTATACATATATATATATATATATATATATATATATATATTTGAAATCCAAGATGGATGTGATTAAAAGATAAATGACGAAAAATATGTCGATAAATTGACAAACAACAAAAAAAAGTAATTAATTAATTTGGGATTATTTGTTTATTAGAGAAAATGGACATCCATTACAAGGACTGGGGCCATACCAGTTGCTGCATCCACTAGCCCAGGTTACAAAATGCATTCTTATAACCTACAACTGGTTTCACACTTTGTCTAGTGGCTTTTAACTTCAAATTTACTTACTTTGGTTACTTATATATATATATATATATATATATATATATATATATTATACGTCGGATAGGAAGGTTATTTTAAAAAGTGGTAAATATTTGAAAAATAAAGAAGTAGTCCTTACCCTTCATATCGTCAATGTTGGATTTGACTGGTTAAAAATTGTGGCTATGCGAAAAATATAGAGGGTAGTTTCGTAACTTTTACAAATAAGCGGAAAACGAGTTCATATGTGAATTCATGTGATACATATATGAACAATATGTGAATATATGTCCATATGGGTATATGAAACTGTTTGTCGCTTATTTGTAAAAAGTTACGAAACTACCTCTCTATCTTCCACATACCTATGCAAGATACTATCGGCTGCTTCACGGTCAAAGTCGTAAATGTTGACCAGATGAAGAATTAGGATCACTTACCACTTTTCAAATAAACTTTTCCATACATACATATATATATATATATATGTGTGTGTGTGTGTGTGCGCGCGCGTGCGTGTGCACACTAATATATTGCATGTATGGCTGATGTGAGTTGTAACACATATCTAATTCAATCTTTCTTTATTTTATGCTTCTGTCGTTTCTCTTTTATCTTTGCGTAACGAAAACGAGATTCAAAATAAGAATGAATAGAAACGAGCGAAAGGAATAGACAAAAAAAGGAAGTAGTTTATTGGTTTATCAACATCGATTATATGCTCGAGATATTTAGGGAAAATTAATGAAAAGAGGTGTCTTTGATGAACGGCAAAGGTTCAACAAGTTTTGATAACCGATAGCACAAGGCGATCGACATAGTATGGAGTAGTAGCGGTGTGGTGCTTCACATCGATTAAACTTACCGTTTCTCTTTTATATATGTTGTACCATCTGTTCTATTCTCAAAACCTCTTTTGGAAAGAAAATATGCATATTCTCACAACATGCATTATGGTTTATTTATTTATTTTGATTAACCTGGATATTCAACCCGCTATGTGAGCCGACTAATCTCAGGGTGACCACCAAAGCAGGTAGCCCGGAGTCACCGCATTTGAACCTCCGTGGCCACAAAGGGATTTTTGTTCCTTCTTGGATTTGAACCTGGGACCTCCAAACACTTTTGACCTTTGGAGTCAAGCTCAAACCAATCAGGCACCACCCTTATGGTTTTATTTATTTTTTCTCTCAACTAATTTATCAACTGTGTTTTCCATGCTATTTTGACCATTAGAGTCTACATTGGAGGCAAAGACCATCACATTTGTAGGGGTGGGTTCAAATAAAAACCACTCAATTTGTAAAAACCGTGAAAACCTCATTCAACCAATCATAATTTTTCATTTTGTTCATTTTTTTGTAATTATGAGAGGTTGATTAACCATTTTTATTGTGGAAGGTGTTAATCATGGATATTATCATCTTCATTATTGTAATTTTAGAGAAATACATGAAACARTTTCATTAAAATTTCATTAAGTAGTATATGAAACAATTTCATAACCACATATGAAACAACTTCATCAAAAAAAGTATTATATGAAACAATTTCACAAGATTAACAATTTCATGAAAAAATTTCATAAGATTAACGATGGATGAGAATAGCTTTTACGGTTTTACAAATGGGAGTGGTTTTCATTTGATCGCTCCTCCATATTTGTATGTATATATATATATATATATATATATATGTGTGTGTGTGTGTGTTTTGTGTAGTTACCTAGCTCATCTTTCTGTTTAAAGACTTTGTTAGAAAAAATTTAAAAGGGTTCTACATGTTCTCATTTTGTATCAGTACCATATTAGAGGATCTGAAACACTTTTTTGCCTCTATTCTAAGGGGCACCGTCTAGCCTAGCCTGACATTCCAATCTTTTTGGAGACCTTACTACATCCAAAACTTTTGAGTATATTGTATAAGTGAGATATCAGAGAATATATGTTAAGAACAAAGATGGGTTACACTTAAAACGATTAACAATCTGAAACTAAACCTAAACCATTAATAATTTGAACCTAAAACCAAAAAATTAATGGTTTGAACCTAAATAATTTCGGTCATAGTTTTACACAAGTCGATAAAAAGACCCTAAACATATGTAAATTGGCCCCAAAATTTTGAGGATCATGTTCAAAATCTCACATTTAACATGCTAAGGAACGGCCTTGGGTTTGAKGAGGCATGTTGGAGTCCGACGTATCAGACACAGACCATTTTAAATTTGTATATATAGGAACCTCTCATATTTCAGTGTTTAGAAATAGATTTAAGGAGCTCCATATATCATGACAGTGACATCGTTTGGTGGTATGGACTACTATTTATTGCTTCCATCTTTTCAGAGTTATGACAGTACAACAAAATTGGGTTTATAGGACACATTCAATCTCTAAGCGTCTCAATAGACCGTTTTATAGGACCAAAATATAAAGCGTCATATCTAAAGGTGTTGTAATAAGTTTATATGACGCTTTTGGGTGTCTTAACAAGTTTTTTAGGACACTTTTAATACAAAGTGTCGCATTAGCAACTTTATAGGACATTTTTTAGAAAGTGTCCTATAAAGTCAATGTTTTATAGGACATTTGTTTTTATAAGACAATTTTTCAAATAATATCCTATAAAGTTGCTAATTGGACGTTTTGTATTAAAAATGTCCTAAAACTTATTACAACGTCAAAAAACGTCATATAAACTTATTACAACGCCTTTAGATATGACACTTTTTTTTTGGTCCTATAAACTAAGTCCTATAAAGTGGTCTATAGGACGCTTAGAAATTAGAAGTGTCCTATAAACCCGATTTTGTTGTAATATGACTTGCACAATGAGCCTCGAAAACTTGTTCCACATTTTCAAGATTTGATGAAAGAATGAAGAAACATCATAACTTATAAGCATTAATCATGATGCCCTTATTTGTCAATTCCATCAAGACTAACTTTTGGTCTATTAAAGATGGCATGCCATGGGCAATATGGTCACATATGGTCACATATGGTCAAAGACCTTCCAGCCTAGTGGTAAAGGTTTGGGCATGGCATAGTCATGAACCCGAGTTCGAGTCCTGGGAGGGGAGTGTTGGCGACATTTAAGTGGGGCCAT